ACTTATGTACTTGGCATTGTTTAAAAAAATTATCCAATCTATAACAATTACGAACTTATTTTATCATGGGGCTAGTTCACCTCCCCATTTAAAATGTTTACTTCCTTCGATCACTTCGGATGCTCCTCAGTTGCCTCCTAGTCTTCAAAATTTAGGCTGTTGGCAACACTGACGAGCCTTACGTGGATGAAACAGACGTATAATCAAGTTTAATTGTTTGGCTCTACTGTATCTTACTCCAGTATCTGAAGGTGTTATTGCCTTGTGTGTCTTTTGTACAAAGAGACGAACACTTCATTTAATTATGGTAATGACTTTACCTCATTTTACCACAGTATACTGTCGAAAGACTAACTTGTTCTAAGTTTTATATATAATTGATGTTCTGAAAGAAAACAATTTTCTCTCCGAAATGAAAAATAATAAGGTTTGATTCGCAAACATTTTATTTCTTTTATTTTGTCAAGAAAATTCTCGCCATGTCTCTCCCATGGAATAAACAAATAAGATTAGGTGTTATATTTATTTATGTATATACATGTATTTCACACGCAAACATATGTATACCACAGATCATAATATGTATATTTCGTGGTGCATTACAGTCACGATATCGTGTTAAACAGTTTACTGTAACGACATTGCTGCAAAATGCCATAACTATGAGATATACATGCTGACCTACATATCAACTCCCCCACCCCCTCCCAAGAAACTCCCCCACCCCCACCCCCTCCCAAGAACCCCCACCCCTCCCAAGAAACGATTTCAGTTTTTCATACAGTTTTCCTTTCCTTTATTGAAAGGCCTACATCAGCATGTGACCAGTCAAAAAGATATATTGGTGCATGGCGTTATGGTATGCATGCATTGAAAAGTGGAACTCTTAAACACCTCGAATGGATTTCGATAATGAATTAAACTGCATCATACAGTCTATTTCGTCCTGAGTTTTGAAACATAGGAGGCGACTGAAGAAAACCCAAAGTGATCGGAAGAAACTTAAAAAAGTTATATAGGGTGGTGCACTAGTCACATAGTTGAATAATTTTCGTAATTCGCTTATAATTTATAACATGGTAGAGTAGAATCTATATGTTTGATATTTACTGTACCACCGCATATAAAACATTACAGTAGTTGCAGCCCAATAGACAAAGTACAATATCAAACATATGAAATGATAAGTACTGGAAGATATCACCCTTAGCTATAACACAGTAAAAATATACACTTGTTATGGTGTTAGTTCTGTCTTTGAATATTAAAAAATTACGATAATTTGCTTACACAATACCATTGCTATATTACAAATGAATATCCTTTTGATATAATGTATACAAGTGGTAAGATGTAGAATCATTTAGTAAAACACTTATCGTTTATACATCAGGAAGTTAAACAAATCTAACACACATGCAAAACACTAACTGTGCAAAACCATAAACGTCATTATCTGCGGCCATGATGGATGCCACGTGCTTTGTTATCTACATGTGACCTACTTATTTTGAGGTCGTTTGCCCGGGAAGACCTCTTCCAACTATTGTATCAAATTACTGACGAATATCTACCGAACTAAGATCGTAAAACAGTCTTAACTCAGATGTTCAAGTTCAACTTTGGTTTATGGACGGAGAATCGCATGTCCAGTGTGATAATTATGTGTACTGTGTTACTGGTATCGAAAAGTTCTAAGGTTAAAGTAAAAATCGAGATATTCCAAGTGTACTCCTCAAATTGCCCATGAAGACAAGCCAGCCAATCTAATACGACTGATTCAAAGCAGATGAACACAAAGTAATTACTTTTGGACTTGACCCATTAAGACCATGGGAGGTGGTTTTACAATATATATTATATTATTTTTCGACAATGGACACAATGACCTTAACAACAGTGAGTGAAATTGTCTGATTACAAAAAATCCACACATTTAGAATTGTCCTCTTGTTTGCATTTCAGTGCCATATTGTGTTACACGCTCCATTGCAAGTAGTGGGTTTGTGTGATATTAAATACAAAATGAGGTTTGTTAAAATTCTGATATTACTCGATTTAAAATCAGATTCACTACAGAGACCTGGCAGAAGCCAATATAATTGAATTATGGTGACATCACTATAATACTATTTGTTTAAAACAATGGCTGCTTAGATGACGTGTCCTTCTATCTATAAGTGAATCTGATTAATACTATTTTAAAACAATTAGCTTTGAAACAAATCACAGATTGGATACCGTCCTGAAGTCTGTCTCTCTTACTGTAAGGCATTTAACGTCTAACCATGGCCTCACGAATCACACAAAACGCTGACAACGTGAAATTCAAGTCAGTTACAAGCTACAATTCTCCATAACCTCGCGCAACTTCAGAAGTGTAAGATTTATATAGGTTTTTTCGTGTTATCTCGTGGCTTATCGCCACGGTAGCGAGAGAGGAGAGCAACTTTACGACGGCATGTGAGTGAACTCGCCGGTCGACATGTGTTCTCTTGATTATTTTAGCCTCGTAACTGATGACACCATTCAATAGTACGTCAAACTCGCACCATATGATCTGACAAACAATCCGTTTGAATTTTCATTCAACCCTTTCATTTGTGCGAATATAAAGTGATCAGGTGGAGTAAAAAAATGTCATGCAGCTTAATTAGATATTACTATATTCTACACAGCGATAAACAATGATAAAACATAACACACAAAAAAATTGAATTTTGAGATCGTGTTTGAATTTGTAAGTGTAATCAATATCTAAAGTGTTGCACTATCTTTCATAATTGTATAAGTGTCTTTGAAACTAAATGCCGGATTGGAGTACAAACGAATCAGAATATTTGTAAGTATAAATGTGCATTTGCCATTTAGTATAAAAAAGGTTCCAGAATAATAACTCGTGTCTTTGTCGGAGATACATATACTGACACAAGCATGATCCATTGTCAACTGTTGACAGTCTAATATTGGTTGCTTTCCTAATACAGTTAAATAATACAATAAGGCAGTGTTACAATGAATTGTCGACGTCTTGTTTCGTTCCGTATTATATTTACAACAAAGAAATACGTTCCGGGAAACGTAACGTTATTTAACATGTCTTTTAACGAATGTGTATGGATCTGCTGAGACTGCCACAGAATTTCCTTCATTTATTAGATTATAATGAGTGTTTGTGGATGGTGCGTTGTTATGGCAATTTAGACATTGTTGAAACATTACATCTGTGTAGTGTCGACTGTTATTGACTGAAAAAGATATACAGCTATGATAACATGGAGACGTTTATATAGGGATATTAAAGAATCTGTGTTTTTATTGTAATAAAATCGATATTAAAAATTACTACAGTGGCCTTTTTTTGTGTAACGCATTGAAAGTTATACTGACTGGGTTTGTTCATAGAGTGGGTAGTTCCACATCCGAAGACCTATTTCTATTCTCTATGAATGGTGACGTAGTTCTGATGAGAACCACATTATCACCTTAATGTTACTGAACTAGTTTGTACGTAGGGGCATTTGTGACAATTTATGTTGCTTATCCAACTATCTAGTCTCACGTAATATTGTATGTAAGAAAGGAATCACCGCCAAGAAGGGAGGTATAATGGGACAGATATCATGACAAAGTCTCTTTAACTGATTTTTCTCAATCGCTTCCAATTCTTTACACAATTTAGGCCTTTAGCATCACCGACGAGTTCTAGAAGGACGAAATACCTGTATGATGCGCTTTCCTTGATTGTTTGACTCTAATGTATCTAACTCTAAAGTTGTATTAAAAAGTGCCATTGAATTGTGTATCTTCTGTACAATCTTTGATATTATATCAGCATGGCGATATGCATTGACGAGGTAATTATACTCATTATTTATATAACATACTATAATTTTATAAAGTCATTTCACAAGGACAATATATGATTAATATAAGCAGTCAAGTCTCTCGTAATGTCAAGGTCAATCGTGCAGGAAAAAAGATAAAATCCTGACAATAAATGACAAGATTGGTTTTTTTAAAAAAGAAAACCAGCCTAAATATGGTTCGATTTCTGAATCCAAAATGTCGACGTGGCCAAAGTACCGATGTTCTTGCATCTTGCACATTTTATGGTTGGTAGCATTACAGTAAATTCGATGTATAAGAAAAAAGGTATTGAGCAGCTCTTTCAGATTCATAAATACGGTAACCATTGTATTCAAATATGACCTTTTTGAGATCTCATAAAAAATTAAACCGTAGAAACATTCGCAAATTTTGTTTACCTTTGCAACTTTTCAAATGTCGTGAAGTTTACACGTCATATCCGGTTAACAAAATATGCCAAAGTATCTGCATAGACATTTTGAATAATTTCTCGTCTTCCTTCGTATCAAACCAATAACTAATTAGAATAAGCATCAAATTATGATTAATTTAGGCTGAAGTAATTACTTTTCTCTGGATTAAAACCATGTGTGTTATGATTTATGTGATGTTAAAAAGTTGAGAACGTTTGAGATCACACCAAGTGATAAATTAGAAATAGAAAAACATTGAAAACATATCTAGACGGATTAGAGTAAATCTATTTACTTTTCTCTGGATTAAAGCCATGTGTGTTATGATTTATGTGATGTTAAAAAGTTGGGAACGTTTGAGATCACACCAAGTGATAAATTAGAAATAGAAAAACATTGAAAACATATCTAGACGGATTAGAGTAAATCTATTTTTCAGATATTCTTTGAATGAAAAGGAAAACTTTAAAACACCGACTCAATACTATTTAATAAAAGTCAATGTCACCTGTAGATAAAGTAAGAAATCACATAAAAAGACCTAGAATGGCGATAGAAAGACGAGGGTGATGATAAGATTAAATGATTAAATAAAAGAGAACATATTTTTTAATGTTCACCACCTGGCACCACGTAACAATGTGACAACGATGCAAGATGGCGGTCGGTTTGTGATGTGGCGACTGTCGCAAGGTATTATGGGTAGTGGCTACTCACCTGGATCCTCTTGAGCTGACGATGGCACTGCAAAAAATAGCAGAATAGAAACAAGAACTAATTCCATGTTTATAGTTAATGTAGTCCCGGAAAAACTTTGTAAAGGTTTTCTCATTGTTTTCGAAGTTAACATATGGATTTTAAACATATGCTAATCTTGTCACCTCAGGCTGTGTATTAGTGTCCTCACACCATTTCCTCCTATTCCAAATATCCAGAAAGTCTTTTACAATGAAAAGACTTTCTTCGCCACGTGTCACTAAAAATTTGTCAAAGTATCGGTTTTATAGTGACTACCGACTCTCGAACCCCGATCTGGAACAGTCGGAGCGAGCTACAGTAACCACTATACCAGTCTACGACTAAACGCCACCAGCACTATACCAACAAAATCAGCTTTTCTCGTCCTGATGACGTAGTCAAAAATGTGTCAGTTTGCCTGTTTCAGTGGCTGATTTTGCAGGCGGAGGGAGGGAGGGGAAGCTGGGCAACCAGGCAGGCAGGCTCCCCACTCGTACGCTCAAATCACTCATAAAATGTTAGAGAATACCGTGTAACGTTGATAAGCCGAAGCCTGGAGCAAGCTCTGTGGCCCCTGACCCCCGGCTCACATATTGGCAGACACCGTATCAGATCTTTTACAAAATCTTACTTTTTTCTCTCCAATACCATCCCCATCGCCCCACTTTCTTCACAGATTGGGTTTCAGGTTTCGGAGTTTTCTAGAAACGAAAATTTTACAACCGTTGCTTTAAGTTGAAGGTGCAATTTGCGCAAGTGTTTGAGGAAATTATACGTGCAGGAATCATGTTAAATATTATCATTAAAAAAATTCTGAAAAAGTTTTACAGTTTTTGTATCCAAAAGTGTTGTTAAAGTATTCATTCCGTTAACAAGTATGTTTAACATAATAAAATATATTATCTGAATTTTCATACGTACTTTCTGTCTGTTTTATTAAACATGACAAAAAACGTTATTTTGTTTTATACAAATTGATGAATCGGATTGATTTTCGCTATTGAGGATATTTGAAACTTTCTTCTGCTCTTATGATAGGAAGTGCAACGTACATTTTCAATGTGTAAAGGCATCGCATTTGACATTGTTGGTACAACAGCGTAATTGATTGTATGTCAGATATAATACCCAATGTTTTAACATATTTTATTTTAATTTTACTTTTACGGTTGCAAAGCCTTGAACCGATAGTGCAGGGTGAACATTTGTCACACCTCCAGGCAATGAAAACATTTAACGTATTAATTATATAAGCACTCGCATAAAAATATCAATATAAGATTGTTTTGTTAATAAATATTTTTGCCATTCTAAATCTATTTATATTCGATCTCTGTCGAACCGTGTCGGGACATGTGTGATATCGCCTTTGATTTTAACTTTTATTTAATCATTGTAGATCTGTACGCCTATAACAAGAACTGTTAGTCTGACCAGACCAGCCTAGTCGTGTAGTATTGGCAGCCTGTGTATGATCACATCGACGTTGCACAACTTGTGCAGAGTCTCTCTGGTCTGCTTCCAACATAGTCAGCACTTCTATCCTCGAGGGCGGACCATGTCCTAGTCTTCTGTAACAAACTCACAATCCCCTCGTATTTATGTTGATTTTGTGTGTTTTTAAAGATTAATCAACATTTAAACCACTGTTAAAGAAATTAAAAAGTCACATCGATGTCTGTTTTAATCTTGCAAGAGTCTGGTTGAATGAATTATCAAAGTTTATCTGATTGCTATGTTTTCCTTTCTAAAGCTTCTTGCGTCGAAAGAAACTGACAATACATTTGATAACTTTGCACCTGCGGATAATGACTACCCTTCTTTCTTTTTACCTCCCCTCCGATCCCTTTTGCTGTATCTAACCGAATGGCTAGGACCCCGTGTGAAATGGAACAGAAACAAGTATTTGTGTTCTAGGTCAAGACATCTGATACTTTTTTTGGAGTTTAAGCAGCCTCGTTCAGCTACTATTTATCGCTTGATCCAGGCACCAACAATAGAATACCGTTAGTCTTGCCCTAACATCATGTGAGGTGGTCCATTTTTGCCCATCAATCGAAGTTTCTATTTTGACTGATGTACATTTGTGTTTAGAACTATTGATGGTTGTGGTTAAACGAATGCTTTTGACCACAACAGTTTATATCTTAACCATTGCAAATTATATCATTGTCAAGTGGTAATACGTGATCAACTCTGTCAGATTACGCGTTAATTTATATATATTTGTTTACATACGTTGAAGATATATCAGAGTATAGAAAGAACGATTGCCATTGTACTGAATTAAACACATAATATAAAAAAGAAGAATACACTCACGTCTGTAGGACGCACGGGTGAATGACCCCCTACACAGAAACACGCCTAGTCTTGTTAACCAGGCCACTATCTCTCTCCCGTACTGAAGATATCGGGGCCACATTGGGTATGTGGACCTTTTTATTAAAACGTTCAGTCGTGAAATGCATTTTATGTGCTTTATTTGTTCTTTACTTTGGCTATGTCAGTTAAATGGTGTACGATGGGTTCGTATGTAACACGTGGTCTACTTTGGATGCGTGCAGCATTCTGGGGTCATTCCCGGCCACATAGTCAACATGTTCATTGCACTATAAAATTCAATCCTCTACAATGTCTAAAAGATATTGTTTTTGTGTTACAGTTTTAAATACTCCTGACACTTCAAGAAGTTCTGTCCATATTTACTTTGGAGTAAATATTGCATTTTATAAAGTTGATAAATTCGGCTGACGTTGCATTTTATTTAATTGAAACAAGCCGTGCCAACCCCAGTTGTTATAAAAGTGCTGACACTCACTTGTGGGCCAGTCAAACTGATATAGGTCTATCCCTCACGACTTACGGTCGCAAACTGACATCACACACGTTTGTTTCATGTTAACATATTCCTGGTATTTAAAGAGATACACTCTCCTGTATGTGTCGAATTTTAAATCTATGATATGATTCTGTAAGAAGCAAACATAATGAAAGTAGATATATGCTTACTTCAATGGAAGATAACACCTATAGATAGTATATAAAAATTACAATGGGTTACCCGCGTAAAGAATTGGTTTTGTCCTTTTTGAGGATAACACAAAAATAGACACTTTGTGCCTTGGAAAAAAAATTAAAAGATTAAACCGTGATCCGCTTCATAAATACCGTTTGGCGAATCCACAAAATATCGGAAATAAAATCAATATGATATAACACATACATAAGTGTAAACTTGCAACCGTGTTATTTCAGTATAAACCACATAACACATGTTTCCTATTCCACATTAACAGGAGTGGTGAAGTTGCAAGGATGGGACAAGGAAAGGACTTGGAAATTCCGTAATGATTTTGATTACGCATTTTGCTTGCATGTTTCTGATATCTAAATATCCTGTTTGACACTTAACCTCGTCTGCAGGACAATATAGTAAAGTATCATTTGCTTAATTATGTTTTATATGATATTTGCCCCCTCCCCTCCCTGTTGATGATTCTTTAATATCAAACTCGAAATAGCTGTTACATATTGATCAATTCCCTAGATATTCGAGGTTATCTATAAGAATATCTTGGATCGTGTAGACATGTCACAAAGGTTGTACCAAAATATGGCATCTTGAAACAGTATGCCTTCTAGCCCAAAACACTTGCCTTTGCATTCATCACCGATACTTTGACACATAAGTCTAACATCATCGAACTTTATGCATCGGAAGTAGCACTACACATTTGAAAAAAATGAAATTTACAAAATCAACAAAGCACTTACAAATAAAGAAAAGATTTGCATGGAGATTTTTAAAAATATGTGAGAAGAATTAGACCGGATAGGATTAACATCTAGAGCTTCATCAACAACCCCAGTAATATAATGTTCTCAAAGTGATATCCGAGTTAATAACAACGAAAGCTTAGGTATACTTTTGAGAATAGAACATTTACAACGTCATATTTATAAAAAGTCGTCGACCAAAAAACTTACTTTTAACTTACTATCAATTCACCAATCTTACTTTAAGTATTTCTCTTCACAAATGCGAATAAAGAGAGATGCAAACTTTCTATGAACATCACATGAACACAAAATCTATGATCATCCAAACCTAAAACAAAGCAAAGACCCACTGTGTATGAATTTTCACAAAGTCTATTTGCAAGTAGGATGATTTTCGAATATTTACGGTATGTACACGTTTGTAAGGTTGATTTTACAAGTGACTGAATGTGTAATTACTGTCCAATTGAGATATAAAATGATAACATGTTGTAGAAAGAGGTAGATAATGTGTGTTCGTCATAGTTTTTATTTGTCCTACTGTAAAATGTGGACAATGATCATAGAGTATTCATAGAAATGGAACAAGTAAGTTCAATCTGAACAGTCAACAATTGTCTACCACACCAAGGACTGCAGTTCGACATAGGCGGACTTAGGTTATGTAGTCGTTGATAAACTGATATGATACTACAATTCTGTTCAACATTGGTATAGTTAGACATTTCTACCGTTCGACATTGATAGTGTAGAACGTATTTACATCTAACTATACCAATGTCGAACTTCAGCACTAATGTTCGATGTTGGTGTAGATAGATGTGCTTACATTTCGACATAATGAGAAGCTACCCACAGTTTGTAATTGATTAATAATATTTTAGACTTACCAATATATATACCGCATTTACTCGGTCGTTTTTTTACGACAGATCGGCTCTGGTATAGTTAGACTTTACTACAGCAAGACTTGGGCATAATGAGAGGTTACAACAGTTAAACTTTCATTGCTCCAGTTCGATATCGTTATAGTTTGACATTATTACAGCTCGCCATTGGTATAATCAGAAGTGATGGCTATTTTCTTTATAATTCCAAGCTATAGCAAGTTTCACATCATATTAGAAGGGGAATATATGACCGCTTTTCCTTTTGTCCAATCAATGTTATTGCCGAGGAAACCAGCCCAGTGTCTGTAGTACGGGTATATGTACAAGCATATTTATATACAAAATATTGCGATCTTGATCTTGGTATTTGATAATTGAATAAACGATTCATTGGTATAACTATACGTTTTAAGACAAAAGAACATACTTTTCATGTTAGATTAAATTATAGAAAGTTAAATAGATGATTTGCGACCATGAAAAATCATTATATGAAAATTACAAAAAATTATTGAATAACAGGACTGGCGCACCTTCGCATCGAGATTTTGCCATTTCGATCTATTCTGGTTTTCCTCAGTCAGTTTATAGGTTTCAAATTTTAGGGAAAGGGATTAATATCAACTCAAAGTTTGTTTTCTCATCCCATACATATTATTTGCGTTATATTGTTGAA